GGCATCTTAGCCAGGAAGAGCCGTGCCCAGTGGCCCGGGGCCGAGCCGCCTGCTCTGTTTGCTGCCATCTGCCTTGTGCAGACCCGGCTGCGGCCTGGACCGGGCCAGCGCTGAGCAGAGTCCGAGGGAGACCCTGGGAGAGAGAGACACTGGAATGTCAAGTCCCTGACTTTATATAAAAAATATATATTTTATTGATTTCAGAGATGAGATGATAGAGAAACATCCATGATGAGTGAGGCCCTGGCTGGTGTGGCTCCATGGATAGAGCATCAGCCTGTGGACGGAAGGGTCCCGGGTTCGATTCCAGGTCACGGGCACATGCCCGGGTTTCGGGCTCGATCCCCAGGGTGGGGCGTGCAGGAGGCGGCCTGTCCATGATTCTCTCTCCTCATGGATGTTTCTCTCTCTCCCTCTCCCTTCCACTGAAATCACGTCTGGGGCATCTTCCCGGGCAGCCCCGGGCACCGACCTCTGTGAGGCCTGGAAGGAGAGGCCGGGCTAGCGCTCTGAATAGCCCTCCCGAGTCACAGGCCCCTTCCTGTCAGGAAGCACGGTGACCTCGGGCAGGAAAAAGGTGTTTCCGAAAGTGAGGCCAAGACGGGGAGAGGGGAGTGGGGGGCCCGGAGGCTGGCAGCGGGGGCAGGGGTCACCGGGCCTGCCTCTGCCCGGGGCCGGCCATTCAAGAACCGGTGAGAGCCCGGCCGGCGTGGCTCAGCGGTTGAGCGTCGACCTATGAACCAGGAGGTCAGGGTTCGATTCCCGGTCAGGGCACAGGCCCGGGTTGTGGGCTCGATCCCCAGTGTGGGGTGTGCAGGAGGCAGCCGATCCATGATTCTCTCTCATCATGGATGTCTCTCTCTCTCTCCCTCTCTCTCTGAAATCAATAAGAAATATATTTTTTAATCTGTGAGAACGTCCTGTGAAAAAGACCCAGGAGGGGTCTGGGCGGGGAGACTCGGTCCAGAGAGCGAGGACAGAGGTGGCACATGGGTGCCCGGGCACAAACCCTCCACAGCGGCCGCCCCGCCCGCTGCAGCCTCAGCCCCT